GTGTGTGTGTGTGTGTGTGTGTGTGTGTGTGTGTGTGTGTGTGTGTGTGTGAAGTACAAAGGAGGAAAATGACTCAAACCTATTCTTTTTTGCAAAGGTGAAAAGGCCTCATTGCCTTAAGAAACAACAAAGTGATGCTCTGATAAGGCTCTGGAAATGGAGGCCAGCAACTTCATTTGGGGGAATGTGAGAACCGCTCGAGGAAGGGTCTGGAAAGAAGGAATCATATGGGACTCTAAAATCAGGATGTAAGTGAAATGAAGTATTGGTTTCCCACCATTTAATAACAATTACCGTAGCTGTTCCATGCTCTTGAATTAAAAAATTAAAAATATTAGTAGAGGCAACTCTTGATTATTCAAGGGAACATTGTTGTTTGTGGGAAATTATGCTTTCAAGACCATTGATAATTAGTAACATTAACAAGAAATCATGGATTGGGAGTCAGGACATGTGGTTACTAGTCCCAGCTCAAACTGAATTTGATGTGTGATCTTAGGCAAGTCATTTTCTCTCTCAGGAGTTTGATCAGTTAGACTAGCAGATAATGCAGAGATTCCATTAATGGAAGCTGATTCTATTTTCCACTGAATCATATTGCACATGCCGCCTGCAGGAAGAAGCCCTTTGAAACCTTTCTTGTTCTAGGAAAGATCTAAGCTAGGATAGCTGTGCTTTCCTTAGAGCGCTGCAGCAATCTAGGAAGGCTGCTTGTCACTACTTGAGCAAGATACAGGGAGATGAGCAGGAAAGAAGAGTTGGGAAATTTGAGAAAGCGCCAGTAAGTTAGCCTAGTACAGTGCAAAGAAATGGGCTCAGGCAACCAGACCTTGATTCAGCTACTTAGAGTAATCTTGAGAGAGTTACTTAACTTTTCTCTGCCAGCTGTGAGTTACTATGACAATTAGGAGTAACATGGGAGTGCAGACCACATAATAGTTACTCAATAAATAATAGATCCTGTTTTTGTCTTTATCCTTAGCCCATTCAAATTTTCACAAGGAGAATACCAGTTTGAATTCTGGATCCACACCCCAACTTTCCTGCTTTATTCACCCAGCCATCCTTTATCCTACCTGTATCAGTTTAACTCCATTAATATATTTGAAGCTAATTCCTAGGCTATCAGTCACTAGACCAAGGGAAAAAAATCCTGAGTTTTGGTATTGCTACATTCTAGTCTGCTACATTGCTACATTGCCTCCTCATCAGCAAAATTAATAAAATAGTATGCCCTGTCTACCTCAGAGCTGTTGTGTATTAACATGAAAGAACAATATTATGAAAACATTTTGTGAACTACCAGTGCAGGGCTCATACTGTTGATAGTTGTACACAAATAGTAAGATAAATTCCCACCCCAAACCCAAATTATTTTTCAACCTTTTCCAGTTCTACAGACTCTTGTCCCCTCCATTAGTTAGCACAACCCAGTGTGTGTATGTATAGGTGCCGTTCTTCATCAGCAACGTAATGCACAGATTAAGGATTTGCGCAACCCACGATTGCGCGACTTTCCGCCCGCTGAGTCAAAGCTCAGTCACTTACTTGGGTCAACAGGTTATTTACATCCCGCCTGGGCTTCGGAGTCACGTGGCAAGAGAGACCAAACCAGGCCGCATCTACCCACATTCTCGGAACTTTCCTCCTAACTTCCCGACAATTTGTGTTCTGGCTCTTACCCGCCCTTCGGTCCCGCGGAACAACCCAGTCCACGCAAGACGAATAAATACTCCGGCCCCATTGGCCTCATTCCTTCCCTGACAGCTCCATTCTGACCAGTTACGGCGGAACCTGCTTAGAGTGGGTAATTCCATTGGCTCAATGCCCTGCCCCTCAAAGCCCTAGCTTCCAATCAGACTCAAGTGTGGAAAGAGGGGCACCGAGGGGATACCTCCCTAAGTCTCAGGCATACCTGTCCATACCTTCCTCCTTTGTTTTCGACCCTCCCACGGTCTCCCTCCTATAAATTGATGGCCAAGAACAGGCATGTCTTGTGCTAAAGTCACAGCTATCTATATCCTTCCCTGAGGAGCCACTGAACCCTCAGAAAGAAACTGAGACCGAAGGGCCGATGCTGCCTGTTTGCCTTAAGTCCGGTTTGTGGACGTTTAGTATCTTAACCCCCTGCTCGCAGTTACAGCGCCACTACCGTGGCTCCCGGCTAGGTGCAACCCACCTCCCAGGTGTAAGGCTAGGGGCGGGGTTTGGCTGGGCAGGTCCAGGATGCGAGATCCTGGAGGAAAGAAAAGGTGTAGTGTTTGGGGAGTTCAGCAGGCTAGGCTGGCTTAGCAGGGCTGGGCTCTTCCTAACAGGTATTACACAGGGGGGCCCGTTCGTCTGAAACAGAGAGATAAGGCCGGAGGCGAGATCTTTGGGTGACAGGTGAGGGGGCTGAGCAGGTGAGGAACGGCGCAGGTTGGGGGTGGGGGGGACAATGGAAGAGGGAGCAAGAGAAACCAGAAGCTGTATGTGGGGGTTCTCTGTCATCCTCCTTCTGCAACCCCCCCCCAACTCCTCACATGCAGGATGGATTTCAGAACCCCTGACCTGCTGGACGTGTGGCTGGAACCTCCAGAAGATGTCTTCTCAACAGGACCCTTCCTGGAGCTGGGACTCCACTGTCCACCTCCAGAGGTCCCAGTGACTAGGCTACAAGAACAGGGGCTGCAAGGCTGGAAGTCCAGTGGGGGTCATGGCTGTGTGAGTTATGAATGGGAGGGGCGGTGGGTTGAAACACAACTCTGTGCTAAGCCCAAGAAGCTTCAGCCTCCACTTGCAGAGAGGTCTGAAGACAGATCTCCTAAAATAGACAGGAGCTTTGACTATTCCCATGTCCAAAAACAGAAGGGACTGACATTGAAGCATGAAGGATCTAGGGTCAATGTCAGGTAGGACTTCCAGAATTCTTCCCTCTACACATATATACCCTCTTCTCCTATAGGGCCTTCAAGAGAGTGAACCTGAAGATTTCCTGAAGCTTTTCATTGATCCCAATGAAGTATACTGCTCAGAAGCATCTCCTGGCAGTGACAGTGGAATCTCCGAGGACCCTGGCCATCCAGACAGTCCTCCTGACCTCAAGGCACCCAGTTCCCCTGCCCTCTATGAGGTTGTCTATGAGGCAGGGGCTCTGGAGAGGATGCAAGGGGAAGCTGGGCCAGCTGTAGGGCTCATCTCTATCCAGTTAGGTCAGTGTTCTTTGTGGGAAGGAGGTAACAGCCCTTTGGGTCCAGCCCTGGGGATACCCTTATCCCAGGTCCCCATAGGTAGTGTCCCCAACCTATGCCACTCCCCAGGTCCTGCTACCATCAGGGTGTACCCTCCATCTCCTTCCTTCTAGTCACCTGTGTCTCCCTCAGATCAGTGGAGCCCACCATTCATGATGCCTGATGCCTGCATGGTTGGAGAGCTGCCCCTTGATGCTCATGCCCACATCCTGCCCAGAGCAGGCACTGTAAACCCAGTGCCTTCTGTGACCTCGGTGAGTCCTCGGCCAGATCCAGAACTGATACACACACGGACATCCACACAGATGGGGAAAGGGGGTGGGGGAGGGGGATACAGATGCTGAACTCTGCCCCAATTTTTGTGGCATCTGGCCTGAAGCCAGGGAGACAGGAGCAACTTTAAGAGCAGGCAAGGACAAGGGAGACAGGAGCCCTTGTGGGTAAGGTAGTGATGACTCAGTTAAGAAGGTGGGGTGAGGGAATCTGAGGATAGAGCTAGGAGAAAGCCTGGACCTTGCATGCATTGTTTGCTCAGCCAGGGCCATTGTCTCAGCCTTGGGTCAGATGGCAGAAATGGGACAGGCTGCCTGGAATCCACCTGGTACAGGGTGCAGGGTGTAGAAGCAGCTGCAACTACATTTCCACTACAGTAATTGTCCAGCAGGCACCCACTGGCCAGGGCTACAGTGCAGGAAAAGAACACATCGGATACCTTCCCAAGGCTGGCTGGCCGGTCCCTGCAGGACTAGGAGGGGGCCTTGTTCAGGTCACTGTTCCTCTCTTTATCCTGGAAAGAACAGGGAACAGATTCTACTCTCCAGCAAATCTGTGGTTGAAGCTGGGGCCAGAAGCTAAGCCACGAATCTTAGAATCTTGAGCTGAGGGATCTTACGAAGTCTGATGCTTCTAACCTTGAGTGTGCATCAATAACACCAGGAAGTCTGTGGCTGTTTTTTTAAACAAAACTTTCTAGGCCTCATTCTCAGAGATTGTGATTAGATAGATTGGAAGGAACACACCTTTAATAGTTCTATCAAATAAGGGGCAAGAAGGGAGCATAAGAAAAAGAAAGATAGAAGAAATGGTTTAGCTAAAAGCCAAAAACCATCAGGATGCAGAAGCAAAAAAATTCCTTTTAAGTCACAAAGTGAAATAAATTTTTCAAGAAGGAATATTAGGAAGGCAAGTTACTCAGTTGACAGGCTCAAGTTAACCAGATGACCTTCCCCACATACTTTGTGAGAAGTTTTTCAGTTTTTCGTGCCCCTGAGGAGTTGAGAAGAAACAGAGCTTCAGTTTCCCCTAGGGCCCAGACCCTAGGGGAAAATGGGCCACCACCCCAGGGAGCCCCTTGTGGTTGACAGGGATAACACTCTGCTAAGTGGAAGTTAGTGGCCAGAAGTAAATCATTTGCCTACTGTCAGATAAAGCAAACCCTACCTTAAGGAGTTCCTCCACATTGTTTTCAAATACCCCTAAGGTTTGGGGAGATGTGGACTGGAACAGCCCTCCCAAGCTTGCTCAGAGTGCCAAGGTCCTGAGTGTGTGGGCAAAGGATATGGCAAAACCATTTCTATCTCCCCCTTCTCAGCCTCAGGGGGTCTCTTCAGCCTGATTCAGAGCCTGTTTCAATTAAAGTCCCTGCCCCTCATCTATTTCATGGTTAGTTATTCCTCAGTGCAAATGGGAAACACTTCCCAGAAGGCAGCAGGCAGGGAGAGCTGCCTGGCTGATGGAATGGCACGACCCTCACCCCACTGTCATCTCATCTTCTCCTGTCCCCCACCAGTTGCCCTGTCAAAACTTGTTCCTGACAGATGAGGAGAAGCGCCTGCTGGGGCAGGAAGGGGTTTCCCTTCCCTCTCATCTGCCCCTCACCAAGGTAACATATTTCCCCAAAGATAACACAAACTTGGAGGTCCCACCATGGCCTTTGGAAAGCCAGGATCACAGGAGAGAGTTGGGGGAGGTTAAGGGCACAAGACTGACACTCCCCAAATCCCCAGGCAGAGGAGAGGATCCTTAAGAAGGTCAGGAGGAAAATCCGTAACAAGCAGTCAGCTCAGGACAGTCGGCGGCGGAAGAAAGAGTACATTGATGGGCTTGAGAGCAGGTAAGTATGGACTCACATTTCTGGCTTCCTGTGATCCCCATCTGGGGCCCCTTCCTTACCAAGGCAGGCAAGGTGAGGGACTCACATGACTGCAGAACCTTTTCCTACCTCTCCACACCCCCTAGGGTGGCTGCCTGTTCTGCACAGAACCAGGAACTACAGAAAAAAGTACAGGAGCTGGAGAGGAACAACACGTGAGTAAAAGCATAGTGTGCACACTGGGGCAGGATGCGGGCGCAGGAGCACGGATCTCACGCCCTGGGTCCCAGGAGAGCTAACTTTCCACTCCTTGTTTTCCAGCTCCCTGGTGACCCAGCTCCGCCAGCTGCAGATGCTCATTGCTCAAACCTCCAACAAAGCTGCCCAGACCAGCACTTGTGTTTTGGTACCAGTAGCCTCCTTCCCATCTCCCCCACTTCCACCATCTCCTGCGATGCTTCCATCCTGACACGCCCACTCCCCGGTTACACTGTCTTTCCCTCCCTGATGAGCCGACCTCCCCTCTGTTCCCTTCTGGCATTATCCCCACAGCCCAAGTGTCCTCTTGCTTCCTCCCAGATTCTCCTTTTTTCCCTGGCTCTCATCATCCTGCCCAGTTTCAGCCCCTTTCAGGGTCTACCAGAAGCTGGGCCTGAGGACTACCAGCCTCATGGAGGTGAGAGGCAACAGCAGGGCGGGGTTCTGTTCTTCAGGACAGTCAAGTGGTGGGAGGTCGGTCCTATTCTGCCTAGGATCCCCGACCCAAGGGAGCACTCTACTACCACCCTTTGTCCTTTACCCCACAGTGATTTCCAGAACTATCTTGACTCACAAGGACATGACAGAGAATCTGGAGACCCCCGTGGTAGAGTCCAGCTTCAGGAGGCCATCTGGGGCCAAGGGCGCAAATGGCTCAACAAGGACACTGCTTGAGAAGATGGGAGGGAAGACAGGCCCCCGGAGGCATGCCAGAGCTGTGCTGCATGCAGATGAGATGTGAGCTGAATGCTCACTGGCCCACTGCCCAGTCACAGTGAGGAACCCAGGGCTCCCTATGATTCTGCGCCCCCCTGGGATTCCCACGCAGGTTTCTTCAGCCCTACGGGTCCCAATCACTTCAGGACACCCTCGCTGGCTGTACCCTGTGGCCCAGTCTGCCTTTGTGCGTGAATACCTCAAATACTTTTGTTATATATCTGTGATTTTATTTCTTCTTTGGGGTTAGAGTAGAGGAAAAATAGAAGTTTTGGCTGAGAAATAAAATTTTTTTGCTTAAACTATATCCTAGAGGTTTTAAGTAAATAAAAGGGGGGAAATAGGTACTTGGTAAAGTGGAGCCTAAAGTTGCTTCCCCCGTCCTTCTCTGTTCCCAACCAAATGATACTAGGGAAGGAAACTATTTTGCTCTTTTTATTCTGCTTCTTAGTGATGTAGACAGGAAGATGGGAGAAATGGGTACCACCACAGGTTTCAAAGACCCAGGGGCACAAGTCAGTCCATTCCACTTTCTCCATCTGAAGTAGGGTCTCCAAGACCCATATAAAAGGGTAGAAGGTAACTATATAGACTCAATTTGCTTCCGGACCTTTTCCAGAGCCTTTCTGTCCAGCTGTCGCTGACGAACGATGACAAGGCAAGCGAAGACCAAGGCCACACCCACAACAGCCCCTTCGAACTTCCAGAATAAGTGTTGTTCCATCAGAGTTGAGCGGCAGCTGAGGGCAGGAAGAAACAGTTATTCCTAGGGAAAGCCAGACAGTCTCTCCATCTAATCTCCCTTGTACTTCAGCCTAACCAAGATACATGAGGGGAAAAGAAACCAGAAAATCTACCTTCTAGCACATAAATCTCCCTCAGATACATCATTTATTTTCTGGTGAGATAAACAGAGCTGGTATTAACCAATTTTACGGATGAGAAAATATGGCCACTAATACAGTGCTGAGGAATAGAGGTGGAACTTGGGTTCAAATAATTTGGCTCCAAATCTCTTCTTTCCAATATGCCATGCTACCTCGAGGAAGAGGTGGGACTATTTACCTAAAGTCACAGGAGCCAAAGAGGTTATCTATGTGGCTTCAAAAAAAGAAATAGCACTTGCCTTTTGAACTCATTCCTCTTAGATGAACTACACGTGATTTTCTCCACATACCCTGTGGAACCACACTCAGGGGTGGTTTTCTGCCAGGAGAGAAGGACCAAAACTCATGTTAGGAAGGGACAGCAGGAGATGCAGAAAGACTGCCATTTAGAAGAGGCAGATGCCCAACTGCTATGGCTCAGAGCTGGTTGGTGACAGAGAACTGACGAAGAGTTCCAGTGTGGATGGTGAGGGTGGCGGCTGCATGATCAGAAATATGTATTAGGAAGAACACCTCAGGGGCAATAGTCTAAGAGAGGCAGGGACAGGATCCAGAGCTCATGTTAGGGTTAAAAATGGACAGGATTAAAAGGAACAGAACAAGGTTCTTGACTAAATACTGCCATGAACTCGGAAAGAAAAGGGTATATTTTCAGGGGAAAGACAAGTCCGAATTTGGACATCTACTGAGACTGCATGGAAATGCACACTTAATATGACTGAGGGGCTGATAAGGAATGAGAAAAAAGGGATAGACTGATACTCACAGTTTGAAAACTAGAACACGGAGCACACTCTTCTGCCACCACAAACTCTTCCACCAGCCAGCACGGCAAATTTGAGGTGCTCACTAAAAGGGGAGAGAAAGGACAGCCCGAGGCCTCATTTAGCAAATATTTCTTCCAGAGTTCTGCCCACTGGACTTGCCAGCACAGCTGAATGCTCTCATTCAACGTGGTGCCGCCCCTTTCACCTGCGCCCTTGGTATACCTGAGAGGATGTCAAACAAAACCAAACTCTGGGGTGTCGGGTTCCCAGACCATAACCCACCTGACAGCTTCTCCTCCCGCACGGGAGCCTCCGCTTGGCTGCAGCGGGTGAGGGAGGGAAAGGGGCAAAAGTCAGAGGCCAGAAAAGAGGAAACCCCCCACCTCCGCGGTGCAGGAACACAGTCTCCTTCATCCGCCCGCGGGGACCAGTCCGTCCTCCCGTCCCCTTTTTCCCTGCCCTCGGCCGCTCCTTACCAGAGCTTTAAGGTGACAGCGCAGAGCAACCAGCAGAGGCGGCGGCCCCGGGGGAGGCCACGCCTCCCCGCGCCCGTAGGCATGGAGTGCTCAAGGTCGCGCCTGCCGGGACAGAGGGACGGGCTTGCCTGGCCTCGTGTCTCCGTCGGAGCGCAGAGGCGGTGCTTACTCTGCAGACCTCCGGGAGGCTCCGGGTCAGGGCTTCGAAACGCTGAGGCTGCCAATCGGTGCACAGGCTCTACTGGGACGTCCCCATGGCCACGGCGAGAAAAGCCAGGAACTCCTGGAGTTGCCTTCTTCCGCCCTGCAGGGCCCCGGGCGCAGGGCCCCGGGCACAGGCCGAGGGGCTCAGGGCCTACCACCCCCTCAGCTCCGCTTCCGCTCCTGGCGCGGCCATCTTGCCCCGCGGAGTAACCTGGGGCGGCGGCGGATCCCACCCGTTAGGCCCGCGGGTCGCGGGGAGGTGCCGCGCCTGCGCCTGCCGGGCTTTGTAGTCTTTCGGGGTTGGTGGCGCCTCTCCCGCGGCTCCCTGGGAATCGGATCTCACTGCGTTTGCGCGGCGAGATGCGGCCCATTGGGTCGGCGCAATGTTGCATTTTAGTCCCGGTAGTTTTTGGTGGGAACCGAGGAAATGGCGGTGGACAACCCTTGTGTGGGTTCTCTGTTCGCTGCTCCCTGAACCGTGTGCCCCTTCTGGGCTAGGTGAGGAACCAGACATAAAAAGAAACAATACATCGCCCTCCTAAGGCTTTGCTCCCTCCTTAAAACCCTGGGATTCACCTTTAAATCCCGTTCGGCCACCCTTCCCTCCTCGCGCGGTCAAGGAGACAAGCTGGTTGGTGGTCCCGCGTTAGAAGTGAAACTGCACTTTTCTTCCTATAGGAGCAGGAATCCTCGAGACCCAGAGAACATGAAGGTTTCCTCGGTCTCTGGGCTCCCGCTGCACTCTGCACAGATGAATGAGGTTACTTTCCCACACGTTAATTTAAATTATTCCCCAGAACTGATTCTTGGAATAGTCTCAATTGTTTTCAAGTCTCCCTTGCTACTACATAATGGAGTAATCATTAATGTAATGAGTTGAAGAGGTACTTAAACCAGATAAATATGGGTGTTAATACTCTGGACCCCACCTCTCAAGATCAAAGGACTTGTCCCCATACTTCCTGTGCTAGAAGTCTTTCTAAGCCTAAAGCCCACTGCTACTTTCCTTCTCCACAGCCTTTACTGCTCGACCACTTTATTTTGGAACTGAGAATATATCTGGTGGTGGAGAAAAAAACACAAAACCCTGGTGAGGGCCGAGCTTTGATTTTCTTGTGACTATAAATTTGTTCCTTATTTGTCTGTCAGTACTTGGATGTTACAAAAAGTAGGTATGGGTTTTTTCTATAATAAAAGTTTGGCTGAAATTTTCTAGTATTCTGTTAATCTTTACCCAATCCTACTATGTCTCTTCCCTTTTCTTTTTTTTTTTTTTCATTTTACCAGACCCTGTGCTGTCTCTTGACAAGCTGTGAGATCTCAAAAAAACTCACTTTCAGTAGTCATACCAAGCAACTGAATAGGTTCTCTACACCGAAACTGATTTAAAAATAATCTGCTCTGTAGTGTGATGATGTCAGTCAGTCTACTGCCTTGGATTCATAAAATGCAAGTCTGTCTTCACCTCTTAAGCAAATTAAACCAGCTGGGCAGTTAACTACAGAGCTTAAACATAAGCTACAGATAAGGCTGTTTAAAAAATACTATGTAAGGGTGAAAGAGGGCTATTACCCCAGCAAAGCTTGGATTTTTAATACATTCATCGAATTATTTTGCAAGTCCTTCTCCCAGCCCTGCCCGATATTTTTCTAAGTGTTGTCTTTTACCAACAGAAATAGCAGCACAAAAAAGGCTTTGCTGCTGACTCCATGGTGTGCAATTCACTTCCACACTGCAGGCTTAGGGATTTCTTAAATGCCTTGAACTTCATATTCGTGAATAAAACTTCTAATAGTAGTTTTGTCTAAACCAAACATGCAGTCTCGTTAATCCTGAGAAAAGATCGAGTCTGTGAGATGATTTTGCTGTTTAAAAAATACTATGTAAGGGTGAAAGAGGGCAGTGTATCAAGCATGAGTCTTTCGGTGGTGGTTCTTTTGCAAGCCAATCATTTTGCCTCTGCTATTCAGTAGTTAGGGGCTGGTTTTGTGAAAATTTGCTTGTCCTTCTTATAAATACCGAAGCTTATGTGAAGTTGACCACTGCCTGGCACATTAGTAGATGCTCAATAAATATTTATGACTAAATAGACCTCTTCTGTGTCTTTTTTCCCTCATCTCTAAAAGCAGATAAATGTGCCCACCAGCTACCTAAAGGGGTTGCTGGTAGGATCAAATATGCTTTGCAGAAATCAGTGTATGAACAATATGAGGTCCTGGTACTTCCCTGAGGCTAGGGCTGTCACTCCCCTGGGAAGCCCAAGAAAGACTCATCAATTCCTGAAATCTCATGGACAGTGCTGTGCCTCCAAGGATCCTCTAAACCTCATAATGAAGAGAAGACGTCCAGACCTTCAGGTTTTCAGAGAACCTCAGCTCCTTGCTGTTTTCCTCAAACAGCTGGCAAGGTACAGGTCTAGTCCTGGTGCCGCAGGAACTCAGCCAAGATTCAAGCAGCCCGACTAAGAGAGGCAGGAATTAGGCTTACAAGTAGAGAGCAATTCTGACAATGAAGAAAGTTACCCAAACCAGAGACATTTGTGCAAATGGTGGCTTTTAATACCGAGAAAGACCTGCAGAGTGACAGGACAGGACCAAACTTTCTGAAGGTGGTGCTGAGCCAGCCTCTCACAGGACCCTAAAAGCTGATCCCATAACAGAATAAATCAATTATTTATTTACATTTACGTTTGCCCTGGAAACCCAGGGGAGGTCTGGGGCCCAGGGCTGTTCTTCCTTTCCTTCTCCCTCGCTTCCTACTTCTCACCTTCTCTCACCTCCTCAGTTCCTTCTCTTCTCCCTGCCTGTCTTCCCTTTCTATTCACCCTCCTTTCCTTCTTTCCCCATCTCCTTCTCTTTTCTTCCTTTTTTTTCCTTCTCCACTTTCTCTCTGTTCTTCCACCACCTACCCATCTCCATCCCTCCAAGCCCCACCTGCTGTTTCTCCCCCACCCAGGCCCTCAGCCCTGCCTCC